ACTGAAAGGCGAACTTTAACAACGAACGCTAGCAAGCAATGCAAATCCAAGGCTTCCAAACGGTGCAGAACTTGTCGCCAGTTATGAACATTATGTCTTCGTCGATGCTGGGATGCAGAGCCTCTGCCACATGCCATCGTAAGGTTAACTCCATCACTATGCCACTCCGACGTCGGGAACCTTGAAATGTGTTAATCCCGAGAATTGGACGTCAAACCGTCTTTCACTAGCCCTTGTTTTTCTCCTCCAAGCATCTCACTGCCACGTAGGGAAGGAGATCCATGGTGGAGGAAATGCCTCACCTCGTCACGCACCGCTATCTTGAAGGATTTACTGCAGATCTAAAAAAGAAAAACTAGATTTGTCTTCTCCTTCAGTCCTAAAAGTGGACGCTTGCTTCTACCCTCGTCTACATGTCTTGCTGTCACTCAAGAGGTAGCCATAAACCATCACCGTTGAAACACTACGAATCTCCGATTGTTTCAGAGTTTCCAGAACGGCAAGCAAGGAGACAAATAGAAGAAACGTTGGAATTGAGAGAAAAATGAAAAGAGGAAAGGGAAAGAGGGAGCCTCCGGCTACGGCTTTCGCTGCATTGGAGTGAGGGTTCCTATGCTTTTGTAGTGAGAGGTTAAAGCGACTTTTTAAATTTTACTTTCAATGGTCCATTACATAGTGATCTTCTAAAGAATATGTTTACAGTGAAGTTTCATTCTAATATATATATATATATATTCATAAGTCTAATTTATTACAAAATGATCTTATAGAGAATACGTAGAGAAAGAAATCAGTGAAATTAATGAAAAAAATTCTCAGTTACTCTAAATCACGAATTGGCGCAAGACAAATTTTTACCCCCAATCTTTGTAATGAACGCGTATATCTTTCACCAAAATATTCAATTATTGCACTCACATTGATCCACAGCTGTTGTTCTTACTTGTCAAGATTGTTTTGAGAAAATTGATTAATTTAACTGGAATTGTCCACTTGGTGAGTCAGCGGCTCACTGCTTTGTGTGAATCTATAGGAGTAGCAGCCACTGATGCATCTACCAACCCTTCTCTATAGTCACCTCCTAACACCAGTGAGCAGAGAATCAAGATGATGTTGATGACTTTCTACAACATTTTTCTGTGAAAATTAAAGACATAACAATTAAAATCTTATGTGTCTGTAGTTTGAAATTTTGTTGTGATTAGTTTTCACATATTTGGTTTAACATTTTTTTCTACTAGTAGTGAATGTAATGTTTATATTAAGTTTTGTGAATTTCAGATTTCAGATTTATATCCACAAAAGAAAAACAAACTAAGGCAACAACTTCTGCTAAATATTCAATGTTAATCTAAATACAATATTTTTTTATACAGAAAATTGTAACCAGATCTGTAGCTACATTTGCTACAACATTGCTAAGGAAAAATCATACTAGAGATCTATAGCTATTTAGCTACACTAAATCGTTCACTAAAAGCGTTGCTAATGCGCAACAAAAAACTTGGTAGATGTGTTGTTGCTAATGCCTACGGCCAGTCCTCTTGCAATTAAGCATGTTACGTGGAGAGAAACATATTTATTGTGTCCATGTGCGTGATAAAAGAACACTAAGCACCGTGATGCAAATGCCGAGCCATCAGTGAGATACCACTCTGGAAGTTATATCCAAACATCTTCTCTTTTACTAATTATAGAGAAATGATTATAATGTTGGTGAATATTCCGGAGAAAATATTTGATAGTAAAGATGGAATGAGTCAGTGTCAAAATACTCATGTTTCGGGTGATGGTTGCCACTATCTTCAAGAAGTTATTACACAGAACAAGATGTTTGGATTCATGGTTACCAATTGATCAAGTTCAGATTCTGTCAATTTGTTCTGGTTATTGACTGTAAATCACTTTGTGTACAAAAAAAGGTTAACGTGATCTGAAGCTTAACGAAAAATGTTACACAATCAGAGGGGTGTCATCTGATTTTGTGGATGGTGGGGAGATGAAAGCTGGTCGTACAACACTTTCTTTTCAATTCCAGGGAATGGATGATGGATAAGGATTGACTCACTTAGTTTGGTGTGTTGACTGACTCTCTCAATCTATGAACCATTGGCTTCTAAATCACACGAATCAATAAAACACAGCGAGTCACTCACTGAACCCTAAAACACACATTTTATGCAAAGACACTCATTAATAAAAGTAAAATAAACTTTAATAATTTTGTTGTTGATTTAATGATGAGTAATACAATGGTCTAAGATGAGATTATATGTTCGTGGCTCATTGCTAAGAAAGAAAGAAAATAAGGAAACAAAACAAAAAAAAACAAAAAACTAGCTGTTGGAGCCATATGAGGGGATTTGGGCTGAATAAAGTAAATATGATTGTTGGCATGTATCTGGTCAGTTTGAGGGTGTAACTGAGCCTACATAGAACAAGATTTCTGCCAAATAAAAAATGAAAGTGCAGCAGGTTTGATGAAGAATCCATTGGTTTTTAAAGATTCCATTTGTGAAAGCATCCAGATATGGTAAGTTGACAAGAATGAAGATCCTCCTGATCATGTAAGCTCTAGTGCATGCAGGTCAGGCCTTGAGGAGAAGCTAAAGAAGCATTGGTTTCTGGCCTTCCATAATATTATTTAATTTCGGCCAATTTTTTTTCATAAGTCTCTTCAGTCTAGTGGTGTAAAACATCCATCTTTACACTAGCATCCCAACTTTAAATTTTGAATATGCTAACCCCAACTTTTTTTTCTCAGTTAGCTTGTGGCCTTGTGAAAGGCAAAACCGCTATTGGATGCACGGTACAAACTTCTCAGACTCTTCTTAATCATTGGATATGACTCATGAAGTCATAGATGTATCTCATGGTCGTCAATTTTTGGTTTGGAATTGATTGTATTGGTGAGCCTCCAAATTAGGTAAGTGAAGAACTTGTTTGGCCCGATTTGGGAAATAGACCATTACTTGATAATTCCATAACCATTTCTAATAATTATCGGCTTGTTGGAAATCTAAGATATCAGTCTTGAAGTTGTATTGGTTTTGGTTTAGGCCGTCTCTTGGTTGGATTGGAATCCACTTTAAAGTCTGGTATTCCCTGATAGATAATGAGTTAGGAAACCTACAATTTGTAAAACCGATAACTTCCTGGTCTATGAAGCTTTTTAATATAATTTTATTTTGACATGAAAACTTCATGAGATTGGTTTTATAGCGAAAGTCCTCAACGTTTATGTGCTACTCGGATCTCCTGTTGGTTAAGTGCTACATCTGGTTGACTTTTGATCTAGTTATTGTTTCGGATATTACAATAGTGAAGACTTGGAACTTTTTCACAATAAACATTGGCGTTAACAGTGTCCGGTGACATAAGTCCATGGTAAATCGTTCATGAAGTGCCGTCTCAACATTTTGAAATCACTCCTGGGCTCATAAATTGGTGATCTGTGCTTTTTACTGTTCAAAATCTATTTTAACTAAAGTGTAGCTTGTGTGTAAATGGTTTTTTTTAATGGATCAATTTGTTGAGCTATTAACGAAAATTTAGATGACAAAAAATTATATAAATTAATATCTAAAATTAATAAACACTAATAAATGATTAATTAATACAAAATTAGTTCCAAATTGGACTAATACAAAATATGATATAATTTTATAAATTAATAAAACTTATTTAAACTCGTATCTATAACATTATTTGAGAATTAAATTTTCTTAGTTGTCAACTTCTCCATGATTTTAGGTTATTTTGCTTATTTTCATGTTTTAATAATTTATTATATAATAGAAACGAATTTATGTTAATAATATTATATTTTTAGAAAACATGTTAATTCTTTTTTATTAGATTGTTATCTTAAAAATATATTTTTCAATTATAAAATCTAAGTGAATTTTCTGATTTTGCTGATTAATTTGTAACTTTCTGTGATTTAGGTGATCTATACTATTATTTGTGAATGATTTTTTGTAAGAAAGCTCTCACGTTGAAAGTTAGAACGGTTAATATCGTTTATACCCTTAATGAATAATTAAAAATTTTAATATAATTAAACATAAATAGAAAACGAATTTCAATGAATTTAGATTTATCTTCATCCAAAATTATTTATATTGGGTTATAAAGTTTTTACTAACCTTGAAAAATAATTATATTTGTTAATATATAATTAATTATAAATTAAAATCGAATTTCATTTATTTGATAATTATCCTTATTTTAATTTCTTTTTATATTAAATGTGATAGTCTTTATCAATCTTGAAAAGTAATTATATTTGTTAACATATAATTAATTCTAAATTAAAAAAGGAATCTCATGAAGTTGATAATTATGTTTATCTAACTTTTTTATATTGTGTTATAAAGTCTTTATTAACGTTGAAAAAATAATTCTATTTCTTAATATATAGTTAATCATGAAAAATCAATTTACAAAGAATTTATGTATAGATAATTTATATTGTTTTATCCAAAAAATTATTAAAGATAATTTTTTATACTTTTTTGTTATGTCTAAAAATGATATTAATTTATTACTAAATGTTTTAAGTTTATGAGTATTTTCAAATATAAGTTGTGTAATGAAAATTATTTATATGATGATGAAAAATTTTATAAATAAAAATAATTGGTTTAGTTTATTATTAAATATTTTGAGTCTATGAACAATAATTTATTTTAATTTACATAACTTGATTATATATTTATTTATAGATATTAGTAAAATTATTAAGCCCGCAAGTGCAGACAAAACACCTAGTATAACTAGTATAAACAAAAAGAAAACATTGTATTGTTTGTGTAAATTCAAATTGTTCAGTTTAATATTTGGATGTCATTTTATCGAAAATAATAATTAAGTTATAGAGTTTTTTTAGTCTAGGTTACTTTGTAAAGTTGAAAATGGAAGAAATAAGAGAGAGAGAGAGAGAAAAAAAACTTGGATATAAAGATAAATAGTAGAGATAGGGTTAAAGCATTGACGACGAAAAAGCCTTGTTCGATCTACACTTCTCTTCTCTCTCTCCTCTACCTCTCTCTCGCAGGCAAGGCGAGTTCCTCATCTCTCTATCTCTCTCCTCATCTGTATCTGAATAATAGGCGCTTCCCAAGATAAATAGTTTCGAATTTTTATATCTTCAATTCAGTTTCATCCCAACCCAATGCTATATGTTTGTATTTTGATTGGGGTCTGGCTATCTCTCTGAATCTAACTTGTTTCCAATTCGAATTCAAGAAGAATTGATGTTGAGTTTGGTAGGGGGTTTGCAGGTTGTTAATGGCGGAATCATCCAAAGTCATTCATGTTCGCAATGTTGGACATGAGATTTCTGAAGTAAAAACCCCTTTCTTCTTTTTTTTTGTTTTTTGTTCAGTTTCTGACAAAAGAGAGCTTATATATCAATTTTACGTGTTCAAACAGAATGATTTGCTTCAGCTTTTCCAACCATTTGGTGTCATAACTAAGCTCGTCATGCTCAGGGCAAAGAATCAGGTCTTCTTCTATAGCGCTTCTCTTCTTTTCTTCTTTGGCTTAGTTTTAGATTTATTTTTTTGTCTCTACTTAGGCTCTTCTCCAGATGCAAGATGTTTCTTCAGCAATCACTGCTCTTCAGTTCTTCACGAATGTGCAGCCAACCATAAGGTAGGGTCCTCTCCTCCTTCATATTCCTCTTCTTTGAACCATCCAGTTCTCACTAAATTTTATTCCAACTATAGAGGTAGGAATGTGTATATCCAATTTTCGTCTCACCAAGAATTGACAACCGCAGAGCAGAATATTCATGGACGTGAAGATGAGGTTTGTAATTCTTATTATCACTTAAAATCTAAGATGTATGTTGGTGTCATTTTCAATTATGTCATCTTAACCTTTCTCTTCACTCTTCACTCTTCTTTTCTTTCTATCTTTTTCTTTTTCTTATCGTGGTGGGTGGTGCAGCCGAATCGTATTCTCTTGGTCACGGTCCATCACATGCTATATCCAATTACTGTTGACGTCCTGCATCAAGTTTTTTCTCCCTATGGATTTGTGGAGAAGATTGTCACTTTCCAGAAGTCTGCTGGTCAGCTTCTCCGTCTTCCTTCTTTTCTCCCTCTTCTATTCTGCTTACTTGATCCATTACTTTGTTCTTTGTTTGTTTCATCCTTTCATACATTTTTCATGTTCTAATATTAATTTAGTTCGATCATCTTTAACTTGAACCTTGTTTATAGGTTTTCAAGCTCTTATACAGTATCAGGCACAACAGTGTGCTGCCTCTGCTAGAACTGCTCTACAGGTGCGCATTTCCATGCCAAAAAAATAAGGTCTTCCTTACTTTTTTTTTTAATAACGAAATAAATTTATGTTATCTTCTTTGTGGCAGGGTCGTAACATATATGACGGGTGCTGTCAGTTGGATATCCAGTTCTCAAAGTATACTCTGTTTGCTTACATATTTTTCTCAAGGCATTTGCTTGTTACATTTTTTAGTCTCTAGGGTCGTGAGTATTGACTGGTCTTTCCTTTTCAGCCTTGAGGAGCTGCAAGTAAATTACAACAACGATCGATCTAGGTATTCATTATGTTCTTTACAATTTGATGTTATCTTCTTGTTCATATATCTCATTTTATGTGGCCTTTGAATAGGGATTATACAAATCCAAACCTGCCATCAGAGCAAAAAGGCCGTTTACCTCACGTATGACCTGCTTTCTATAAATCACATTTGTTTTGTATCCTTTGATGCCGTCTTAATATTCTGTATTTTTTTGTTTTGTTTTGTTTTACTTGCAGCCTGGCTATGGTGATACAGGAGGTATGTGTCTTACATGATTGTGATTTTATTTGTTCTTCTATACTGTGGTCTTTTGCTAATTCATATTTTTTCTATTTACAGTGGCATATCCTCAGGTGGGTAGCAACTCTTTTGGTCAAAGATTGCGCCAGAATATTTTTTGTTTCCACTAAGTGGATGTTGTTTCTAGTTGACCATTGATTGGTCGCTTTGTCATTTCTTTAAAGTGATTATACTCATATTTGATCTCATGCATTTGATGCTATTTAGATGGCAAACACATCTGCGATTGCAGCTGCCTTTGGCGGTGGCTTGCCTCCGGGTATAACTGGCGCAAATGATAGGTGTACAATCCTTGTCTCTAATCTTAATACAGATGTAAGTTGGTCATTTCCAATTTGCTTTACACAACTTAAAAGTTTTCTTACACAATTTCCCGGGCTTAGAAGATTCATTTTGTTTCAGAGCGTTGATGAGGATAAGCTGTTCAATCTGTTTTCTCTTTACGGAAACATTGTGAGGATAAAGCTTCTTCGAAACAAACCTGACCATGCCCTTGTCCAAATGGGAGATGGTTTCCAGGCTGAACTTGCAGTACATTTCCTCAAGGTCTGCATTTGAGTTTAAGAAGATTGATGATGTGAAAAAATGGGATTGTTTATATGTTGTGTTTGCTGCAGGGAGCGATGCTATTTGGTAAGCGGCTAGAAGTAAACTACTCGAAGCATCCAAATATAACACCAGGCACAGACTCGCATGATTATGTAAACTCGAACCTGAACCGCTTCAACCGCAATGCTGCAAAGAACTACCGCTATTGCTGCTCCCCTACCAGGATGATTCACTTGTCGACTCTTCCGCAAGACGTGACAGAGGAAGAAGTGGTGAACCATGTCCAAGAGCACGGGGCGATACTGAACACAAAAGTGTTTGAGATGAACGGGAAAAAGCAAGCACTGGTGCAGTTTGAGAACGAGGAGGAAGCTGCGGAAGCACTGGTTTGCAAGCACGCGACCTCTTTAGGCGGATCAATTATCAGAATCTCCTTCTCTCAGCTACAGACGATTTAAAGTTGACGAAAGGCCTCTCCCTCTTCTTTGTCTCCTCTAATAACATTTGGGTATGGTGAGGATTATGAATGTGTGTTTGTTTAACTCAAACATTTCTGCTTCTTGTTTGGACTTTACTGCATTCTTCTTTTTTTCACTTTGTTGGTTCCTGGATTAAGTTTGTTTGTGTTGATTTAATGGTAAAAACATTTGATGGTTTTTTCTTTTTTGACAACGAAAAAAACATTTGATGGTTAGAGCATATCCAACAGCAGTATGTACTTGGAGTTCTCAAACTAAAAGAAAATCAAAAATTTAATAAAATAGTAGAGAGATTAATTTTGTATCTCAAAATGGTTGTTCAGACAATCTCTTTTCTTCTTTATTTTAAAACACAACTTTCCATTAAATAAAGGATTTTTATTATTAAACTTCTTCAACTAAATATTAGTAACTTAAATTTGCAACTTCAGCATTTTAAAAGTTTTTGAAAATATGAGTACGATTTGTTTTTAAAATCAACACTTTATATGTAAAAATTGAAAATATAAAACACTAAATATATAATAAAAATAATGTATTTACCATTTAAGATATAATAATCCAAAAATAAAAATATGTAAAATTTTAAATAGAATAACTATCTAAAGGAGTAACTTAAATTTTCAAATGTTAGTTACTAATTTTAGATAATTAGTTTTACTCTAATGCTGATCAAAATATCCATTACCAGCAATCAATTTATACATATATAGTGTTGATTTTAAAACAAACAAAACTCATCATTATTATAAATATAAATTGACTAATATTGATGAGTTTGGTTTGTTTTAAACTCAACACTATATATGTATAAATTGATTGGTGGTAATAGATCTTTTGATCGGTATTAGAGTAAAACTAATTATCTAAAAATCAGTAACTAACATTTAAAAATTTAAGTTACTTCCTTAGATAATGTAATTCTATTTTAAATTTTACATGTTTTCTGGATTTTTAATATCTTTAATGGTAAATAAATAATTTTTATTATATATTAGTTTTTTTATATTTGAATTTCTACATATAAAGTATTGATTTTAAAAACAAATCATACTCATATATTTTCATAAATTTTTAAAATGCTGAAGTTGCAAATTTAAGTTACTAGTTCTTAGATAATGGTATTATATTTTTATTTTTTCATTTTTGGTTTTTAAATTTTTAGTGGTAAAACATCTTAATTATGTTTAGTTAATGTAAAAACCCCTAAACTAAAGATTTTACCGGTACTAGTGGTCATTTTGACCTGCACCCTAGATAGAGAGTTTAATCCATTAGATAAAATTAGTTTGGGGTTTTCTCATTAAATATTTGGTTTGGGGGTTTTTACCCAAAACAAATTTAGTTGAGTGGTTTTAACGTTAAAAATCCTTAGAGATAATTAAACCAAGTTCAACAGACTATGTTTAGCTAACGCATCTGCAACAATATTGTTGTCTCTAGAGATCCATCTAAGTTATATGAACTCAAAGGAAGAGGCAATCGCCCTGATATCACTTAAAATGCCATAAAACCCCGCAAGAGATGAGTATGCCTTGATGGCTTTAATCAGGATCGCCGAATCGGATTCGACTCTGCTTCTGGATAAGCCATGTTCTTTGCACTTCAAAATGGCTTCCTTGACAGCAAATCCCTCAGCTACTAGAGGTGAAACCACATGATGGGAGCGAGAAGCGTAGGAAGATACTCTATATGCTCTGCAATCGTCCATCCTAGTCATGTTATACACAAAGAATCATTCCAAGCAGCATATGTTTTGACCAGTAGAGTTCCTTCAGGGAAGCTAGCAGTAATCGGAGGAGCACGAACGCCTTGGGGTGATTGATTTTGGCTTGTGACCCATTCTCGAGCTATTGAAATCGCTTTAGAAAGAGTTTCTTCTGTAGTGTAAATTTTTCCATTAAAAACCAGATTATTCCTTGCTATCCGGATGTGCCACAAGATCCAGGGAGCTAAAGATCCTTTGGAGACACCAGAGGGTGGTAGGTTCTTCCTAGATAATAGAGAGCTCCAGATACTTCTCAAATCTATCGATATGCTGTAATCAATTTTAGGAAAAACCTGAGCTGATGACAAGACATGTTTCGCAAAAAGACAATGAAAAAACAAATGTCTAGATTCAGGATGATTGCATCTCTTGCATTTCCACATTAATTTGACGAGCTCTAAACGCTTCCTTCGCCGGAATGGCTCTATGGAGAGCTTTCCAAACAAATAACTTCACCTTTGGAGATATTTTCAGGTTCCAAACACTATTTCTCCATTCAAAGTTTGAATCCTCTTGAGATATTTCTCCTTCTAGTTCTCGGTTCTGATCCGTCGGAGGAAGACCCTGACGTTCATCCATGAAGGAGGAAAGATCGCAGCCCTCAGACCGAATATTCTCTCAAACGCTCTCCCACCGAGGACAAGGAGGATCTCTATTGCATGGAACATGCAAAGACGGCCGAGGAACGATCTCAGGCCACTCGCAGCAAACGTCGGCGGGGTCGGAAAACTGCAGGCGAGCCAAATGAGATTCGCGATCACCGTGACTACGTCACAAAAACCGCCGCAGCGGTAAAGGCAGTGAAGTCTCGAATTCACCACACCACTAGCGTCGCTTCCGAAATAGATCGACTGCTGTACGAGTCTCGGAAAACGCCTTTCACGGCCCGCATCACCAAGGTCAAGCTGCCCGATCTCGGAAAGCTTAACCATGAACAATAAAGTTCTCGGGACAAGGTTGGCCACAAAATTGCTCGCAGGCGAACTCTCCCAAGTATCCAGCGTAAAGGACCTCATCCGCGATTCAGACCCCCCCCCCCCAAAAAAACCGATAGGGAGTTGCAGGAAGACACTTCGCCTCAAGGGAACCAAGCGGGCAAGAAACGCGGACGAAGACAAGACGAGAGAGGGAACGATGCTAACCGCCGAAGGGTCAACATGATCATCGGCGAGTCGCAATACTACAGCGATACCCTCTCGTCCATTAAGTCCTACCAACGAAAAGCCGAGACAGGTTCGAACTGGCCGACGCCGTCGGATGATGCTCCAAGAGGTGTAATCGCCTTCGAGGAGGCAGAAACGCTCGGCACTGACGACCCACATGCTGATCCCCTTGTTATCGATCTCGTCATAAGCGATTTAGAGGTCGCCCGAATCCTAGTATATACTGGAAGCACCGTCAATATGATCTTCCGTGACACTTTGACACGAATGGGAATAAGATTAACGGAGGTCGAACCAACCCCAAAACCGATGACCAGTTTCTCAGGCAAAACGTCAATGACACTCGGATCGATCAGACTCGCGGTGGCCGCAAAAAAAGTGACCAAGATCGTTACCTTCGCAGTCATCGATCGTCCGGCCATCTACAACGTAATCATGGGCACGCCCTGAATAAACGCCATGAAGGCAGTTCCGTCGATGTACCACTTAGGCATCAAGTTTCCAACTCCTACAGGAGTTGCAGAAATTTGGGGATGCCAGAGACAGTCGCGGTCTTGCTTTTTAGCGGAACATAAGCTAAGGCAAATTGCTATCGCTATCGTAAAATGGAAACGGGCAAAATCAACTCCGCCAACCACGGAAAATGGCCCCGAACCAGCAAGCCCTGCAACGGTCGAGAAACAGCAAGTTTCCGAACCCATTGCTCTTACTCGAATGGAGGAGAAAAGCCCGGAGAAAGACACCGATCCAGCGACTAAAGCGATCGACGCGTCTACAATAGCTGAGTAAACACACTCGCACCAACGATCAGAACTACGAGATGGGTTGATTCTCGAAAAGGATACATTGGTAGCTCGCCTAAAGACGAGTTCAGCTATCCCCCTCTCCAAAACAGGGGGGAGTGGGTGTGTATACGAGTATTAGTATACTCCCATATTTTAAAATATTCGCTTTCTACTCGAGATTTTTGAAACATTTCAATAAAAGAAACGTTAGAATATTACAAAATCTCTTCTCGTAAAACAAACTCTAAAAACAGACCCAAACTCCAAACACTTACAGAAATTGCTTCCGCAACCAGTTACAAAAAAAAAAACACTTGCTCGTTTCGACCAAAAACTTATACATCGTATCAATATCAATATTTCGAAAACAACCAGCGAGACGCCGCTTAAAGTCTTAGGGAAATATTCACAAGTCCATCCGCGACTATAAAATCACAAACGCTCGTCGATTGGCCTCGCCGAGCACACATGCCGTCTTAAACAAACACATACGACCCACTGCTCCATACTTCCGACTATATTAAAATAGCGTGCTATAAAATAAATCCAAAATTTTGGTTAGCACCTTCGGGGATGCTCGATTTCGACTAGGCAAGTCATATAAGCCGAGAACCTATCGCGGACTTTAAATCGGTACGAACTCAGGTTAAAATCACAACAGGCAAAACGAAAGCCGACTAGTCATCGCAAAGCCTTAAAACCAAAAGTAAACCTAGGTCTTGCCCTAAACCCAGCACACTAACGTCTCAAGGCATGAAATGAGATCCTAAAGGCATGTCTCTTTGTTCACATCTAAAACACTCACGAAAGATCGAAACATTCCGATACGAGCAAACGAATTGGACGATCTACACATAGAGTTAGATACGAGACGACAACTCGTACTCTTTCCTCTACAGTTAAACAAAAAACAGATTTCATACTTAGAAAAACTTCATTTATATAAACATCGTTTGATACACGCCGGCCAGCGGCAGGGATTCAAAGCCACCAACGGCCAGTCCCGAAACAAATACTATAACGATTACACTACAACATATGTCGAAATCATAATCCATCAAATCCATAAAACCCGGACGCCGAACATTGTCCAGCGTTCGCGTCAACCCCCGGCTGATCAACCTCGCCATTTTCATCCGGGATCTCCATCCCAACTTCAACCAAGTCCATCGAGACCACAATGGGATCCCACTGCGCCCACATCCGCGCCTCAAGATCAAGAAGCTCGGACTGCTTCTTCTCTTTCCTATCCATGCGCGCCTTTTGCTTGGTGTACTTCTTCTCGAACAAATAATCCGCGAGTTGAGTGAGATGTAACCCACCAACTACACCACAAAACTCACGATAGTCGCCGACGGTCCTTTGCGCATCCTTGATCCCCAAGTATTGGATCACAAACTGTTCACGGCGAACCTTCACCATCTCGGCAGCTTCTCTCTTGCCCTCTCTACGAGCACAGCAATCTTTCTTGTTGGAAAGCTCCATGACACGACGAGAATCAGCCTCGTGTTCCTCCCTCATGCGTGCAACTTCCTTCTCAGCCCACTCTTTAGCACGAAAGGAGTTAGCGTCAATCTCCTCTTTGAGACGAGCGACCTTCTTCTCTGCCAAATCCGCACGAAACTCGGCAAGACAAATATCAAATGTTCTTATAAATTGTATGGATAATGAAAGTGTATTCACAAGATCAAATGTTCATTTTCAAGTTTTTTCTTCCTTCTCAAGTTCTTTCATTTTTTCTTAAGAAACTTGTAATGGAGGACACAAATTTAGTTGTCTCTTAACTAAAATTCTTAACACAAATTTGTTATTAAACAAGTGATTAAGAGACTTAAGACCATCATTATCCCATCAGCCCATCTGGGGGGTGCTTAATTTTTTTTCTTTTTTTTTCTCGGATTTAGAAAATTTTTTTAACAAAAAGGACCAATCGCGGGTCGCCAAGTGTCGTGGGATCCGCGGAACAGGCCAAATATCAACAAAAACGGGACTCTTATATTTCACCCATGAGCGCTCGGTTTTTCCTTTTCTGTGGACGACCCATTCACCGGAACGGCAAGGCTGTCCGAGACCGTCCAGCTCGCCAAGCCGGCGAGCTGGCCGAGCCAAACCAGCTCAACTTCTTGGCGAGCTGGACCGTCCTGTCCAGCTGGCCAAGCCAGCGAGCAGGCCGTCCCAAACCAGCTCGCTGGCTTGGCGAGCTGAACCGTCCCCTCCAGCTTGCCAAGCCCGCGAGCTGGTCGTCCCGAACCAGCTCGCGGTCTTTGCGGTTGAACCGTCTCGTCCAGATCGCCAAGCCGTCGAGCGTCTCGAACCAGCTCGCCGTCTTGGCGAGCTGAACCGTTACGTTCAGGTCGCCGGACCGGCGAGCTGAATATCCCGAGCTTCACCATCCGCATTGCTCGGACACAAGGAATACGTCCCTCGACTCGATTGTACTCTGAACTGTGTTCGGAACATCTCTCGTTTCGTCTCGATCTGTCTTATCATTGGAGTTTTACGATAAAAACGGCTAAAGGCTTGTTTTTCGTTAAAAAAATCGAGTAAATCGTATAAAACGGAAACGGTTAATCAAAACACCGGACTTTGACAAACTATACAATTAACTCGAGATGTTTTATAAAAACAGCATCATATCGCAAAACGATCCCGTTTAAAATCGTAAAACGCTTAAGGCGCAAAACGGCCCGAAAGGTCCTAAACGCGATAAAAGCCCACTTACGAATTTAGACGGAGAACAACCCAAATATACAATGACGGTTTATCCGTTTATGTGCAAGAAGAAGATAAAGTTCAAGTTCAGAGAAAAATGGAAGTTTTCCAAGATAAAAATGGAGATCGAGATAAAATGGAAGATTTTCGAAAAATACAAATCAAGGCTGAAAAGGAAAGACTAAATCGCCTAGAGGAGGAGGATATAAGCATAATGTCGAGGCCAAGAAGAAGACACGAATTTTCAGAGCTCTCATCTCACAGAAAAACCTAGCACTTAGGACAAATAGGCAATTTTTCCGTTTTTGTTATCGAGCTGCGTCTCAACTACGGTTTTAGTCTTAGGTTGCCAGAACTAGGTAACTCGCCTTCAGCTCATGTGGCCAAAGCTTTACCTTGTTGTACTGCTCTTATGCGAAATCGGAATAAGATATCTCTTTGCTCTCTTTTCAATTCTCATATTGTCTATTATGTTATTTTTGTATTTTGATTGCTTGGCGTGTGGTTTAGCAGATATTCGGGACCTCTGGGAAGTTAGGGTTTTTCCTAAGTTCCTTAATTTAAGAAAATCAACGATGTGAATTTCGATTCCCACAGTACTATGGGTGGGCGTTCGGGTACCCATTCGGATTCGGTTCGGATCTATTCGGGTTTCGGATTTTCGGGTTCACAAATTTTAGTCCCATTCGGATATTTCTAAATTTCGGTTCGGGTTCGGTTCGGATCTTTGCGGGTTCGGATAACCCATTTAAATTATTTTTAAAATTTTAAAATTGATTATATACTTTACATTTCTAAAAATCTATAAAGAAAATAACATATTACAAATAATTGAATAACATAAGTCAAAATGCCTAAAATTAACATATAAGTTAGTTTGATTTGAATATTTGGATTGGGAATCAATAATTTTGTAAAGTATTTTTGATGTTTTAAGTGTACTTTAGTAATTTTAGACATGTATGTTTGACTATTTACATATATTTACAAGTATTTTGAATAACTTCAAAGTTTTTTATATATACATTAATATAAAAATAACTAATATATATAGGTATATAAATCTCTTTCGGATATATTCGGGTACCCGAAATACTTCGGTTCGGGTCGGGTTCGGTTTCGGTTATTTAAATACCAAAATTTTGAACCCATTCGGATATTAAATCAATTTCGGTTCGGATTCGATACTACTTTTTCGGATCGGGTTCGGTTCGGTTCTTCGGATCCGGGTTTTTTTCCCAGCCCTACACAGTACTACAGGGTGGGTAATAAGAGATAACTGAGGGACTTACAAAGGAGCTGTCCAAGCGGAAGGGAAGAGAGTTACTACACCTTTGGAGAGTGAATTACATGCGATCTTGATGGCTATACAATTCTGTTGGATTAAAGGTTATCAGAGGATCATTATTGAATGAGATTGTCAACAAGCAGTTCAACTTCTCAATTATAATCACATGAACTTTGGTGTTTACAACTGGATAAGGGAGATCAAATGGTGGGAGTGAAGATTTGAAGAAGTGTCATACCAGTGGATAGGAAGACAACTGGATAAGAAGCGTGTCTTAGAGGACACATGTCTAGCCCCCATACAATGGAAAAAAGTGATTGATCTTTGTGTCTCTTCTCTTCCTCTTCTTCTTCCTCTCTGCGTCTCTTTTCTTACTCTCTGTGTCTCTATCTCTTCATCTTTTTGTCTCTTCTTCTTTTTCTTCCAGATTGATTCTCAATCACTCAATTATATTTGATTGATAGAATTTAATTTTTGGTGGATGAGGATGAAGAAGAAGCTTGACAGAGGAGGATGGGGAAGAAGCCGTCGGCGGTGGAGGCTTCAGCCAGGATGACGGCGGCGAGAAAGCGGTAATCTTTCCTCAACCTCGTCCTCTGTTCATATTCAAGATAGTTTTTTCTTTTTGGGTTAGGTTTCTCTTGTTTCATAGAAAAACGATTACTCAAGTGAAAAGATTTTAGTTTTGATTCTTAGATTCCTTTCATCCGATTGTAATGGGTTATGGATTTTCCGAGATCATACTCAGTTTTTAATTGGTAGTTTTGAGTCGGTTGAAAGGTCAAAACTTTTACTTAGTATTGAATCGTTGTGTTTGTAGATGACATGATTTTCTAGATTGAGACTGTATGTTCAAGTTTTTGTCTTTATGAATGGGCAGGCGAAGAAAAAGTTAAGAGGCATAGAGGAACATACAAAGAAGATGGGAGGAGAAGTGAGAAGAAGGAAAATAAATCTCACAAGCACCACCGATCAAGTTCATGTATAGTATTTCTTCAATCGATTCCTAGTATCTGACCTGATATGCAATAGCAATAGCATGTGATGGGTAGAACCTTTGATTATTTGTTACAGTCCGGTTAAAATTTGATGTCTTTTTACTGATTCATCTTGTTTGAGTATCTTGATTTGATGCAAACAGCTAAGCATTGTCAATGTCGATAAGTTAAGAATGCTTGATGGACTGATGGGATTTGTCTTTGTGTTCTGGTTCTGATATGTGGACAGGTTTTTGTTTTGGTGTGTAGTGAGCTAGAAAGCCAAAAAAGGATGTCGTTTACGCAGCAGAAATGGAGGGTGTGCGAGAAGACAGTGTACGCTATGGAGCTTCTCTCAGCTGATGGTGTCCCTTTTCAGAAGTCTTGCTTCAAGTGTTCTCACTGCAAATCCACCCTTCAAGCTACACAATTGAGGTATGTTCTTAAGCAGCATAATAGGTAATTATCTAGTGTGACATGAGAGTGGAGCTTTAATAACATAGCAGTGGTGGTAGTTTGAACTATTTGTGCTAGCAGAACTAAGACAGTGCGTAGGTCTTGTTGAATTGTTCTTTGGTGAATTGCAGAACATTGAAGTTAGGTAATATGTTAGCCTTTGTACGTTGAGTTAAAGAAAGGTTGTATTATCAGAAACTTGTATAAATGATATGGATAATAAAAGTGTAATTCCCGAGATCAAATGTTCTTTCTCTAGTTCTTTCTTCTTTCTCAAATTCTTTCAATTTTTTTAAGAGTCTTTACTTAAGAAGCTTGTAATGGAGGACACAAATTTTTGTATCTCTTAACTAAAGTTCTTAACACAAATTTATTATTAAAAAACTGATTAAGAGTTTTTAATGGACTCTAGGGATAAAGATGCTCTAAGGCGTCTTTAATCAAAAGTTCTTAATTACTTTTATACTAGGTGATAACCCGCGCAAGGCGCGGGATGAGATTATTAATCTCGTTATTTAGCATATAAAAAATATTAGATTTGTTTAATGTGGACATCGGTTTGGTTGTAGGTTGATTTATTCTTCGACTAATGGTGAAAGATCCAAGAATGTAGGGAAGGGCTGTTGATCTTTCCTTTGTGTTCATGTTGATCCAAGAATGCATGAAAGGGATTACAAGTATTCTTGAGTTTATATCTTGAATACGATAGAGAATTTTGATGTGTGTAGATATTTTATAGGAACTATAAATCAATAAGTAAGATAGAGAAATCTAGTGTAAATAAAATAAACTCAATTCCATTTATAATAAAAATGCATATCTCATTCTTCTGAAAACAAAGAATGATCTAAATAAAATAGGTATTGTAAAAAAAGCTTCAATTAATAATTAGGTATTGGACAGTTTGTTTGGATTTTGGATCCCAGAAATATATATAACAGGGGTTAGATGATATGATGATATTTTATAAATATACTTACAACTATATAAATATAAAAGTCACCAACATCAACCCATATGAATTCTGAACGTTTTTGCTTTGAAGAGGTTTCATTATGCCATGTGCCCAAATACTTCATTTAAAACCAAGTTTTTTTTGGTTAACAAAAACTAATGTACTACACGGGTTTTGAAATCAATTTTAAAGTCTACAATAATAAGAATGTAATACATTTTCATTAGATGGCCATGTGTTCCCATAACTTGAGACCTCGAAAGACAATAACAATATTTTCAAACTGGCAATACTTGGTAAAAACTCGAAATCATAAGTATGAATTTTTTTTTTCCGTTTTCTGGTACCTTATTTACTCATTTGCATAATATCTAAGTCAAATCCAACCTACAGATTTAAATCAGGAATAAATGTAATATTCATACTTAAGATTTGCGTAATATCCAAGCCAAATAACAATATTTTCAAACTGGCAATACTTGGGTGAAAACTCAAAATCTTAAGTAGGTTGTTAATATAAAACATCATAAATAAATAAAACAAAAATGAACAAAATAATAATACAGAGGCTTTTTATTAATTTAAGAATAACAAATAAGTTCAAGAAACACATATCACCCATGAATCAAAACACTTGTAACAAATAATTGCAATATAATAAAAACACCAAATGAAAATGAAAGCCTCTATTAAACGTCTTCCTGCACATATCTGCCTTCAGCCACTTTTGTCAGTCTTCTCCTTTTTTATCTGAATTGAACACAAATTATTTGTCACCGAAATCTCATCATATCCTTCATCCAAGTTAAAAATGGTTGTTCCTTGACGTTTAGTAGGAGTGAGTGTGTTAGCTTCAGCTTCCTGGGACGACCCTCCAGACAATGAACCCTATATAATACATAAAAAAAAGTGTTCAAATACACTTCTAGATTGATTGCAAGAACCAAAGGTCAACCCAAATAAAAATAAAACACAATACCTCTGGTGCATCTGAAATTACCGAGTTTTCCAAAGCCAAAGTATTCACTCCTCCCTGCAGAAACAAAGAAAAAAGCGGGTCAAAAACATACAAATAATAGTAATGATTCATAAAATAAAACATACAATCTTTTATACTACCTTTGGTTGACTCCACTCCTCGAACTCGGTAATCAAGTCAATGTTGGTGCCGAGTTTTAGCACTTTGTATGTGCCATTCTTGTAGAGAAAATTTTCTTTCTCATTGCCAACCTTGAAGAGATAGGTTTTACCTATTAAAACTTTGAGTGTCAAAGGAAGATCATCCGGGTCTTGCATCTGTCAATTTAGCATGTATTCTGTTAAAAGACATAAAACAATGACTATTGGCAGTTCACAACGATAAAACCCGCCTTACCTCATCAATATTAGTTCCAGTTAGCTCATTGCAAGGGCGATGAAGTAACTGGAGTCAAGATTGTCGAACAGTAGAAATTTTGCATTGCCGGTATTGTCCAGCACTGCCAAATGAAACTTGTATCTAACATAAACGACAACATATTAAATTAAGAAAGACATATCCGTACTCAAGAAATTATCTACGAAAGCTAGTGAATAGTAATTACCTTGGCATCAACTTTGGGTTCTTCACCTTGCATTTAACGCAATAGTAGTGGAAACCAAGTTCATCTTTCATCTTCTCCATCATCAATGGTATCATTTGGTACATTCAATACCTTCTTCGAATGGTTTCAAATCACACACAGCAGTTATCGCAGCCATTATAGTAGAATCAGAAAAAAAGAGTTTTAGAGTGTATGTGAGATGCAATATATGAATGAGAGGAAGATGACTTATATAAGAAACGTAAACCTAATTTCCTATGGGCTAGATGGCTCACCGAATTGACATTAATGCCATATATTTTCACCTTGCCGTTCACTCTAAGCTATATATATTACCATAACATATAAATGGCAAATATTGCAAATTCAGTATCATTAATTTGCCTTGCCAAACACATAAAACCATTAAATATTACATTAACACATATATTTCTGGTTTAAAACGGATTGGGTATTGGATATTTTGCACCAGTATCGGTTTAATCGGTTTAATAGTATTAATCACAGCATGGAGAAAAACAATGGACGTGTATGTGAAACTATAATATCTTGAGTTCCAGGAATTAACAAAAGCATACATTAAGTTATTATTTTCACGGCTAAAAATAATTAAAAAAATAATAATAAACTTGGTAAGTTTTGTATAAAGCATACATTAAGTTATGCGATTTAACAAAAGATACATTAAGTTATCCGATTTAAATGGCTTAACCAAATTATAAAAAAAAAAATCCGGTTTAAACAAACTTGGTAAGTTTTGTATAAAGAAAAACACAAAACACTGCATGTCTTATAAAATCATGAACGTATAGAAACGAAACCCATATAACGTAGAGTTCATTCGGTGCTATAAAAGTAATCATTGCTTCCTCTATGTCTAATTTTGGTGAGACTGATTGCTTGAAACCATTGTGAGTCTTCTCCATGAAATAAGAGAGAGATCGTTAGGGAAGTTCATGATATGTCTTCTATGTCTTGAAACCGCAAGGCGCGGAGTATGAAGTTCATATTATGTCTTCTTCGTATTTCTTTCTTATTGGAAGTTCATGCTTGGTACAAGAAACTTGCATTATATATATTTCCGGACCAAGTCCAAAAACTATGTTCAGAACACCAAGGGGAAGACCTGCCAATCATACATTTTAAGAAACATTGTTACGTAAGCCTTTTAAATTTAGAGTGGTTAGCAAGAGCATTGACGGTTTTATCTCGTCTTTAATTCCAGCTACCTTAGAAAATGGCTGCAAAACCAATCTAGACCCACTCTTAATCTTCTCACAGAGTCAGAACTTCTCTAAATGCATTATGTTTTGTCTCGACGCTTGCTCCTAAAGTATTCAATGTCTAACTAATAGCACTCGATGCAGTGCTTATAGCTTCAACTTTGTCCATGAAAGTAACCTTCTGGAGGAACCATATATTGTTTGAATCTGCAAGAAGAACCCATATGTTTTTCTATTACAGAAAGGGAAGTAAGCTGAATGAAGTATAGCTCCTAATATTCCACTTAAACGTTTCAGAGTGGTCAAAGCTTGAACTGTTAGAAATCTTCTTTCCTTCTGTTTTGCAAAAGACTTCTACTTTCAGAGAATGTGTCATTTCTTAAACCTTCTCCATGTCTACAACATTCCTCTCCGTTTTGAAACTCTTATAATGATCCAACCTGCAACGACACGCGTACCATCAGTTACAGTTTGTCGTAAACAACTCTCCTCCACTTATTTGTCCAAGACATCATAAGAACCGAAAGAAGAGAGCTGCGCGTACCATCAAAGAGAGCCAAAGCTTCTCGAGCATCAAAACATAGGATATAATGGCAGAGGACATGTGAACCGCGGATTCCGGCTTTAGAAAGTGTCAAGGGTTAGCACTAAGCTTGAATATGTGAAGAAGTCAGCTAATATTGATGCAGATAGTTTGAGAGGGATTGTTTCGAAGATGGAACATTCCTGCAACTTATTTCTCGGATACGTAACTCTTGTTGTGTTAATATGTTAATCATATTCGCAAAATTAAAACTGTAAGCAAATATGAAAATAAAAAAGTGAGAAGCTCTATTAAGACGACATGTGGAAAAGGTAGTGTGAAAGCATTAAATGCAATGCTTCTCTTTTGATATCTAAGAGATATTAAATTAATCAATAAGACATTCTAAAGTGATTTGTGGGATAATCATGCTCTGAGACAACCACTTTATTACATACTTGTTTTTTGAATTTTTACTCCTCATATGTTTTTTCAGCTATTTTAGCCTTAAAATTACTTATACAACTAGGTAATAATCCGCGCATTGCGCAGAATGAGATTATTACTTTTGTTACTTTTAAGATAAAAATGATATTATGTCTGTTTAGCATGAATATTGGTTCAGTTTTACGTTGTTTTTTAATCTCCTAAAATATAACTATCATTCTAAATCTATATTTATTTTGGTTAGTTTGGTTTAAAGGTTTAATGTTTTTTGATTTTTTCGATAATAACAAAAACTATTGTTATTTGTTTGCTTTCGTTTATACAAATTTTAGACCTTTTTTATATCGAACTAATAGTTTCTTATTTTAATTTCTAAAGACATGAAAATTAAATAAAATCTAAATAATATTTGAAAAAAAGAAAATAAAATTATTAACATAAAACATTTCACTACAATTTGGGCGATAGTGAAAGAAAACATCAAAAAAATCCAACTTTAATAAGAATTAAAATTCTCACTTGTGGTGAATATTTAGTTATATAGTCGCTCATGTCAATGTGTACATGTATGTATATGTAAAATTATATAAATGTGATGATAAATATATGAATATACCGTTATTAAGATTTAAAATATTTTTGTTCAAAATAACACATGATAGTAAATTCTTAAATAAAATTAAGTAAAAATAAAACAAACCTAGAAATTAATAACATTTTCATATGAAGAAAATCAAATTGTACTCATAAACAATAAAAATAATATATATTAAGTGACATCTTCACTTGGTACCTGAATTCTGTTTTAATCGATTTTGTAATTTTTATTTCTTTTTAAAGCTTTCCTGATTTTTGATTTTTTTTCTATCAATTTGATTTTGTTTCTAATTCTTGGCCTGATATGAAAACTTTATAAAAATGTTAATATTTGACTAATCTAAAGATCCGACTTTATGTGTGGTGTTTTTCACCTCAGCTTTTTTAATTCATAATTAATCACTTTATTTGTTGTTATTATGTACCAAAGCCTCAACCATGACCAACTTCATCAATGTACGAAATTTTCAATTTCTACAAACATTTTCATCCCAACATTTTAGTTGATGCAAATCTTAATGATTTTGTAACTTTTGTACAATAAAATATTATTCATTAGTTTCACGTAGGAATTTTTAATTTATTAGTACAAAAGCTAAAAATGTAGAAAAAATGAATTAATTAAAAAAATAGTGTATAAACCTATTAAATAATGAATTTAAAAAATTAGTGTATGAACACATTTATTGTCAAATGATTCTGAGGCCGACACATATTAGTGACAGTATGAATAAATTTATTATAATGCTTCTATTTTAATGTATAAGAGATTTTGGTAACATATCTATAACACTATTTAAGAAGTAATTTTGCTGAGTTGTCATGTTCTCCATAAGTTTAGGTAATTTTGTTTATTTACCATATTTTTAATATTTATATATAAATTCTTTATAAATAAAACGAATTTATATGAATATATCCTATTTTTTAAAAAGAAGATAACTCTTGTGAATTATGTTATTATCTAAAAATATATTTTATATATAAAATTTAAATTCTATAACATTATTTAAGAAGTAATTTTGTTGAGTTGTCATGTTCTCCATAAGTTTAGTTAATTTTGTTTATTTACCATATTTTTAATATTTATATATAATTTCTTTATAAATAAAACGAATTTATATGAATATATCCTATTTTTAAAAAAGAAGATAATTCTTGTGAATTATGTTGTTATCTAAAAATATATTTTATATATAAAATTTAAATTTTAAATTAAGATATAAAATTATTATATTTATTATATAACTAAAACGAAATTATATTAATAATTTTATATTTTCTAAAATAAGATAATTTTTATGAATTATGTTTTTATGTTGTAAATATATTTTCGTATTATAAAACTTTAAATTAAGATATAAAAATATATGATTAATAATTAAATATAAATCAGCAAAACAATTATTTGAAAAGTGAATTTGTTAATTTGTCTCCATGATCCTAGGTAATTTTGTCATTTATCATAATATCTCTAATTTTGTTTATTATTTATTATATAATTAAACTAATTTATATTAATAATATGATATTTTAGAAAATAAGTTAATTTTTATGTACTATGTTGTTATCTTGAAAATATAGTTTTCTATTAAAAAATGTTAAATTAACATGTAAAAAATCTATGCTCTTATTTAAGAATTTAATTTGATGTTTGTTGATTTGTCATAGTTTCCATGATTTTAGATAATTTTAATAATTCATCATAATTTCTATAATTTTATATATAATTTATAACATATTAAAACAAAGTTATATTAGTAATATCAGATTTTTTAGAAAATAAGATACTTTTTATTCCAATTGTTAATTCTTATAAGTTTCTACCACATAAATTAATATAAATTACCACATTATGTATCATATGTTTACATAAATTATATGTTTTTGGTTGTATATTTCTAATCAGTTTGTTTTTTACACCAATAAACTGTTTATTAATTTTCTTTCAATAGTTTATTTTCTATACTATTATTTAAGAAGTAATTTTTCTGAGGTGTCATGTTCTCCATAAGTTTAGGTAATTTTGTTTATTTACCATATTTAATATTTATATATAATTTCTTTATAAATAAAACGAATTTATATGAATATATCCTATTTTTAAAAAAGAAGATAATTCTTGTGAACTATGTTGTTATCTAAAAATATATTTTATATATTAAAGTTTAAATTAAGATATAAAATTATTATCTTTATTATATAACTAAAACAAAATTATATTAATAATTTTATATTTTTCTAAAATAAGATAATTTTTATGAATTATGTTTTTATGTTGTAAATATATTTTCGTATTATAAAACTTTAAATTAAGATATAAAAATATTAATATTTAAAAATAAATCATCAAAAAGATTATTTGAAAAGTGAATTTGTTGATTTGTCTCCATGATCCTAGGTAATTTTGTCATTTATCATAATTTCTCTAATTTTGTTTATTATTGATTATATAATTAAACTAATTTATATTAATAATATGGTATTTTAGAAAATAATTTAATTTTTATGTACTATGTTGTTATCTTGAAAATATAGTTTCTATTAAAATTTTTTAAATTAACATGTAAAAAATCTATACTCTTATTTAAGAAGTTAATTTGATGTTTGTTGATTTGTCATTGTTTCCATGATTTTAGATAATTTTAATAATTTATCATAATTTCTATAATTTTATATATAATTTATAATATATTAAAAAAATTTATATTATTAATATCAGATTTTTTAGAAAATAAGATACTTTTTATTCCATTTATTAATTCTTAAAAGTTTCTACCACATAAATTAATATAAATTACCACATTATGTATCATATGTTTATATAAATTATATGTCTGTGGTTGTATATTTCTAATCAGTTTGTTTTTTACACCAATAAACTGTTTATTAATTTTCTTTCAATAGTTTATTTACTATAGGGTTTTTAGTAATTTAAACCCTCAAGTAAAGATTAATCGTAAAACAAACCCTTAACTAACAATTTTGTGAAATAAACCCTTATCTTTATGTCCATTAATGTTTTTGATCATTTATCAGAATTTCTCTAATTTGTTTATTATTGATTATATAATAAGACAAATTTATATTAATAATATGATATTTTTAAAATAAGTTAATTCTTATGTATTAGCTGTTACCTTGAAAATATATTTTTCTATTATAAAATTTACAATTAACATGTAAAAAATTTATATTATTATTTAAGAAGTGAATTTGATGTTTGTTGATTTGTCATATTTTCCACGATTTTAAGTAATTTTGATAATTTATCATAAGTTCTATAATTTTATATATAATTTATTATATATTTAGAACAAAATCTATATTATTATAGTTCACTTCTAAGACTCTTAAAGCTGTCCATGTCAGCAAGTTTGTGGGTCTCACGCATTTAAATTTTAAAGGTTTTTTTTTTTTAAATGACTATGAACAATGAATACACTTTAACAAAGTGGTATAAGGCATCTAATTAAGTCTGTAAGCATGTGGGTTCAAACCACGCAGCTGTTATGTATTTTATTTTTTTCGTTTGAATTATTATCATATGGACTTTTTAGTTTTAATGTTTGTATTTTTTTTACCTTTGGACTTGTTGTTTAAAGCCCAAAATAGTAGAAAAAATCCTAAAGTTTGACGAATTCAAACCCAAAACAATTAAAAATGGATCAAAACACAAACAACCCAAAAAACAAAAAACAAAACGAGTCTCACGCGGCACTATCATGTCCTAATATATATTTTATGTTTTAACATATTTCCTAATATATATTTTCAAGAAAATTATGTATGTGAAATAAAATAAAAACAACAAATTTTATGTATTTTTTGTTATTTATAAAATAACTATGTAATTTCTTTTCAATTTTTAATAGTTATTATAATTTCATTTTTAACAGACTCCAGCGAATGGATTTCCACAGTCGATGATGCCGTAAATAAAAATGCCACATTATTCATGAAAAAAATCCAAACTTACAAAAAAACATATCCAAACCTATCTATTGAAACCCAAACAACAAATATTAGCTTAAATTAAAGTTATTTTCAAATTGATAAATCGTTTAGTACAACTATAAATACTAAAATAAATAATTATATCAAGTTTTGATCTCCGATATAAAAACTATTTCCAACATAAAAAAGAAGATAAACACCTATTATTATACACTAGAAACTATATTATAATTTAGTTATTCCTATAAAACTTACTTCGCATATAAATAAAATTTAACACATTATATATACAATATTTTCACTTTACACTCTTGATACATTCTTTCCATTTCATCATTATTTGGTATTATTAGAATAACCCACTAAACCCACAACAAAAAAAAAACACAAGCAAAAATCAATGATCCCGGCTCCGCGCTTGCGCGTGGGGTATGCAACTAGTTATATTAATGGTATAAGATTCTTAGAAAATAAGATAAATCTTACTTATTAATTTGATATCTTGAAAACATATTTTTCTATTAGAAGTTTAAAATTAAGATATAAAAGTTGTAGTTATTCTATAATTGAAATAAATTTACACTAATAATATTATACTTTTAGAAAATAAAGTATTTCTTATGTATTATGTTGTTATTTTAAAAATATATTTTTATATTATATAATTTAAAAGTAAAAGAAAAAATTATCTATTAATAACTAAATATAAATCATCACTCAAAAAAAATTATTTAAGAAATGAATTTGCTGATTCATTAAGTTCTTCATGATTTTGGGTAATTTTATTTATATGTCATAATTTCCATAATATTAGATAATTAAAAAAATATCATATTATATTTTTAGAAAGTAAATAACTTATACATTATATTGTTATCTTGAAAATATAGTTTTCTATTATAAAATGTAAAATTAAGATAAAAAAATTATAATTAAATATAAAAATTAAAAATAATAGTATAAATTATGTTGGTTTTTAAATTAATGAAACATCAAATAATAAATATTCATAAGAGAATTTAAGTATACGGAAGACAATGAAAAACCGGGAAAAAGGAAACGACGTTGATTTTTGTGTCTTACAGATAGATGACGTGTTGGAATATAAATCGTTAGATTATGATCAAAGAAAGTATGCCTTACTCAAAGGCGAGTGTCATAGAAGTCCCAAATGATCCGCTTTAGATAAAAAAAAAAAGAGAAAAAAAAAAAGAAATCGAAGATCTGGTCCGACTCCAACTCCGACTCTGACTCCGACTCCGACTACGACTCCGACTCCGACTCCGACTCGGATTCGTCCTTTCACTAATCCGAGATGGCAGAAGACAAAGAAGCTACGACGAGTTCACTCAGTCAAGGACTCGCTCCTCAAGACCCTGAAGATCCTCCCAAGTCTCCTCCCAACTCTCCCAATTCTTCTACTCGCAAGGTTCACCTTTTATTGATCGATTCTTTCTCTGTGGTTGAAGAGTTCTTATAAATCAACTTCGAGCTTTTTCCTCTGATACTTGAATTTTCTAAGTTCATTTGTTGACAATTCTTAAGGGTTTCTCACAGTTTATTCACTTTTGAGGTCGTTGAGAACTTTTTAGGGTTATAGAGAACTCCAAATTGTAAAAGTGATTTAAGATTTGGAGGTTTAAGCTGATTATTACTCTTATCTGATTTTGCATTTGAACAGGCTTGCTATGCTGTTCTTCAGAGTTGGGTGTCCAAGAAGTTTATGACTGGCTTGTAAATCACACTCTCTTCTTACCACAATTTATATTTTTTTCTGTCTAAAATCTTCGACTTTTCTTTGAGTTTTATTTATATTGGGTGTGTAGTGTCGTCCTCTTTCCTGTTGCTGTTACATTCCTCATCACCTGGTGGTTTATCCAGTTCGTTGATGGTTTCTTCAGTCCCATATACGAGAGCCTTGGTGTTGACATCTTTGGTAAGGCTGAAAACGCTTCTTATTGTATGCAGTTAGTGTTATGTTTGTTGGTCAAAGATTCCTTAATTTCCGAGCGGTTTAAATTTCAGATAATGACCTTTTTTAATTGTTTTTTTGTATGTTGCAAGGACTTGGGTTCATTACATCGGTGCTTTTCACTTTCTTTGTCGGAATATTTGCTTCCTCGTGGCTTGGTTCTACGGTTTTCTGGCTTGGGGAGCAGTTTATTAGGAGAATGCCCTTTGTGAGGCACCTATATTCAGCTTCTAAACAAGTTAGCACTGCTATTTCTCCGGGTAAGGCTGTATGATTCAGACATCCTTATGATTTTTCTTGTCTTTCTTTGTACAAAAAATACATGTTAATAATTTGGTGACACAAGTAGTTTTATGCTGCTAGGTTGTCTGCCTTTTTGTAACATTTGTTTCTGTTCTCAGACCAAAACACAACCGCCTTTAAAGAGGTAGCAATCATCCGTCATCCTCGCATTGGTGAATATGCATTTGGATTTATCACATCATCGGTGACACTTCAGGTAAGTGGACAAGAATTTTATAAATAATAATAATCAAATTCCTGTAAAACAGCATTTACAAAGTTATATGTGTTACGGTCGCAGACGGACCAGGGAGAAGAAGAGCTGTGTAGTGTGTATGTGCCTACGAATCATCTGTACATAGGAGATGTCTTTCTGGTGAACACTGAAGAAATCATTAGGCCAAATTTATCGATCCGAGAAGGAATAGGTCAGTCTTAGCTTGTTTTTATTCATCAATTGTACACTTCTCGTAGTAATATGCCTAAGCACATTCGGATTCTATTGTTTGGATTGCAGAGATTATAGTATCGGTGGGGATGACTATGCCGCAAGTGATATCTCATGTGGACAGGACAAAGAGTAGAACTGCTCATCAACACAGTCATAGGATTCCACTCAACAGACTTTGATTAATAGCTCTATTCATCTTGTAAAGATACACTTCACACTTGTGCTCAGTCCGGAATTATTACTATTACACTTGTTTTATCTATAGTTTAATATCTTGCCCAAAAAAATAAAATAATTTGCTCGGATTAATATATATTTCTTGAGTTATTCTTGGGTTCACCCCATAAGGTGAACTTCTAGATTCACTATCTAATAAAATTGAATCATTTCATATTTTATATTTTTCTAAAAAAGAAATAAAATCTTGTTAAGTTATATTATATTTTTAAAAATAAAAATACAAAAATAAATAAAAAATAATAATAAATAATAAAAACGAAAAAAAAAAATTTAACACTAAACCTTAAATTCTAATCCTAAACCCTAAATCCTTGGGTAAATCATAAATACTAAACCCTAAACTATAATCCTAAACCCTAAATCCCTGGGTAAATCATAAACATTAAATTTTTATAGATTTATCCAAAGGTTTATGATTTACCTAGGAGTTTAGGGTTTAAGATTAGAGTTTAGAGTTTAGTGTTAAAATATTTTCTTTAAATAGAATTATTTTTGTTTTTATTAATTATTTTTTATTTATTTTTTTGTATTTTTATTTTTAAAAAGATAATATAATTTAATAAGATTTTTTTTCATTTTTAAAAAGATATCATATATAAAATAATGTAATCCTATTGGATGGTGAACCTAGAGGTTCACCCAAGAATATGTCATATTTCTTCAGTTATATTAAAATACTAGTACCTTGAAGTCTATGATGCATGGAAACTCCGGTCAAGTTTCGTTTCTTGTTTAGGAAGCATTTCAGACTATGAATCTCTTGGAAACTTGGAGAAAATTTTTGGAAACACGTTTCTTAAAAGTTTCATTTTGGAAACATGATGGAAACTTGCGTTTCTAATTTGGAAACTCGTGATTCTATTTGAAAACACGGAAAAATAACTATTTACCATTTGATGTTTGTGGGAACCGAGATTCACACCGTCGATTTTTCCGTCAATTATGGGAAGTTAGGGAAAACTCTGATTCTCCCAAGGTCATGGATCTCTGTGAAAATCACTAAAACGAAAGAAATCAACATAATATATATGAACAAGAACAAGGACGATAGAATACAGATAAAGAATTTGCGTAAGAGCTTTTATTGAATAAGAGATTGACTGCTGTTACAAAGAAAATTGCGGAACTTAGACGTCAAAACGTTCTAAGGATCCGACTTGCTAGTCTAAATACCTAAGTCCTAAATTCGCCTAAGCTAACAGCCGCCTCTCTAGGTCTAATTTTCGTCCTCTGCTTCTGTCCTCTGCCTCTTGCTTATATACTCCCTTCCTAGGCGGTTTAGTGTTTCCATTTCGCCCAGATTCGAGTTTATCGAGAATCTTCCATTTATCTCGATCTTTTTTTTTTCCCGCGGAAATCTTCTATTTATCTTCAAACTTGCCATTTATTTTTGAATTTGACATTTATCTTATTTCTGCGAGTAAACCGTCAAAACGTCGCCGTATCTTCTGGTTAGATTTCGTTAAAGTCGCAAGATAGGCTTTTATCGTGTTTTAGTACTTTCCGAGCCGTTTAGCGATAAGAAACCGTTTTACGACTTTTAGACGAGATCGTTTCCTGATGCGATCCCGTTTTTAAGTAAGTTTCTCGAGTTAATCGTAAAGTTTGGCAATGTTCGATGTTCCGGTTAATCGTCGCCGTTTTTTATGATTCACTCGACGTTTTTATTAAAAATGCGTTTCTTATGATTTCTCACGAAAAATCTCGAGTAAATCGTATAGCTTAGGCAATGTTCGGGGTTTTTTTTAACCGTTGTCGTTTTATACGATCTCCTTGAGTTCTTTCAAGAAAACAAGACTTTACGGTTTTTAACGTAAAACTCGAACGATATGACGAATTGAGATAAAACGATAGACATTCCGACCGTGGTTTGGAACATGATCGTGCCGAAGGACGTATGCCTTGATTCGAGGATGTGGGAGATCGAGGCTTGGGATAATTAGCTCGATGTACGGTGAACCGTACAGCGAGCTAGTTCGGCCGAACCAGCTCGCGGTTTATGACGGTTACGGTTTTTTCGCGGTTTTGTGCTTAACTCGGAAGATCGCGTAATCGGCGTTTGTTTTGTTCCTTCGAGATAACGATTTCCGAGTTTTCTGCAGATTCCCCTTGTTCGGAAACTTTATTAGAATTTTATAAAACGGCTTCTCGAGTATTATAAAATGATTTAAATAAGTTTTATAAAACTTATTTTAGTTTTCCTTTTGCGGAAAGTAATGATTTTACTCTTAATAGAAATTATCGTAGACGTTGATTTCGAGATTACGGTTTTTGACACCAACAATGTTAATGATTACATGTTTATTAACTTATATTTTAATATTATTTTTTGATTTTTGTTATTATCTTGGTATAATGATTTGATATGAAATGAAGCCGGTTCCACATTTTATCGAATGGAACAAGTGTTAGTTTTCTAAATATTCATTAGAATTTTTATAAAAAATACCACAAAATAACACTTAAATAACTTGATTTTCTCTCTTAGTTAAATAAAAAAAAGCTTACATGTTAATTAATCATATATATATATAAACGTTTCTTAAACATTTCCATTTCTAATTCTTTTTAAAAATCACGTTTCCACGTTTCGAAACGTGTCGTTTCCACGTATTTGTTTTCGATTCCATGCAACCTAGCTTGAAACCCTATATCATCATATCAGACATCTTGAAACATAAAAATAAGACTTACATTGAAGAGATTCTTTAACTTATCGATCAGGTTCCTTGTTGCAACCCCCAGTAAACCCTTTAAAATCAACAGATACGAAATTTTTGTTGCCAATATATTAAATCAGCAATTGAAGAAACTTGGATATCCTCCACTCATCTTGGCAGCTTGGTGTCCATTCTTCGGCTTCTTTTATGGCCTTTCGTATTTCGTAGTGCCATTGACTTACTCAGCTTGGTAGATTAAAAGATTTCTGTTTTTCTCATATCTTCCAAAGAATCCACAAAGTATAATGCAGTCAACTATTTTTTGAATCCATAGAATCCGTATTTAAGAGCTGTGTTCCGAGCCATACCGCTTAAAGCATAATTACGATTGATGAAAAGATGTTTATATATGTGTAAGAGCTGTGTTATTGTATTTGTCAGTTGACCACATGTGAACTTAGTGTCGGTCCGAAGTCTTCTGGCGCCTAAAGTGCAAAACCATAAAATGATGCCCTCTTACAATTTTTTTTTCTTTTTTTGAAAAATACGTATTTTAAAACAAACAAATATCCCAAAAATAAAAGAATTCCTTAAAATGTTTAAGTTGGAAGTTTTAACATATGTAGTAGATCTGAGAATGAATGACAAAAAACTATGAGGTCTAATTAGTGACATAAACAATTAAGGAAAATAATCAATTTATACACATTCCTTGAAAATTACACAGTTTACGAGGAAAATTTACTTTGTATGATTCTTTATCATTTCTTAAATTTTAAAGAACTATAGAATAAAAAAATTTCTTATCTTTTTCATATTCACTCTTTTTCTTTTAATTCTTATTCTTATTTTAATAGTCTTTGTTGGACTCAATTTCTGCATCTAATTAGGTAAGCCCAAGTCCATATAAGATCATCATGAGCTCGACGTAGATCAGACCCAAAAAAGTCGAAATGGTATCCCGAAGATCATAGAAGCAGTTAAAAGAAGATAAACTATAAATAGAGAGCTAAAGCAGAGCACAAGAGGACACGGAAAAACCTAGAGCAAATCACTAATCAAATCGACCTCACTCCATAGACTTATAGTTCGCTCATAACTTTTACTTTTCATTGTTGTTCTCGATCTTATTTACTACTTTGTATCGAATCCCATATTCAATAAAGTCCATTTTTGTCAACCGAATTACGATTTTATCGTTGTGTTTAAGAGTATCGTTGCCCACATCATTTGTCTTCCCCTGATTAAACTCTTGATCAGTACAAAATACTTAGTGTGGATTTTAGGATCTATATTTTGGCGCCGACTATGGGGAAGATAAACGAAAAACGCCCTTGCTAAGAACCCGATCTAGGAATTCCAAGCACGATTATGGATCCCAACGCAACCAACCTCAAAAACGCCTGATCAAGATCGACCGATGTTGATCCCACTGGAACCGCTCTAGGAACCAATCCGGCTTCTGTCGATCAAACGAACGTCACTACAAGAAAACAAGTCGTTTCCGACTACAAAATGAGTCGGTAATCAGTCGCTAAATGGCTTTCCCGACTGATTTACAACTGATTAGAATAGTCGTAAAACACCTAGTCGCTAAATCATTTAGTCGGAAAACAGTCGGCATTTACCGACTGAGTTGCTACTATTTTGGTAGTCGTAATTTCAGTCGTTAATTAGTAGGCAATTATCGACTGACTTATGACTCATGTAGTGACTATATTACGACGGTATTCTGACTGATTTAACGACTGAATTTAACGACTGCTTTAACGACTGCGTTAACGACTAAATCTCGTAGTAGGATAACAGTCGGTATATTTCTGCGACCAAATCACGACTGATTAGTGACTACGTTGCTTAAATTTTACGACTGATTTTGTGACTGATATGTGACTGTCCTACCATATTTTTGATTGTTAAATACATTATTTTGGTGTTTTGTTTTTTTTATTGTTCATAATTTGTTATTTAAATCTGCTAATAATAATTGATATTAATAACTACTAAAAACGATTTTGAAATCATAAAATGATCTAGACATGTACCAAAAGAACTCCAAGACTTTGGAGTTTTCAAGTTTCAAACATCCAAAAGAACTCCAACACATAAGGAGTTTACAAGTTTTACACATATCCAAAAGACAGAGTTCAAGTGAAGGTAAAAGGAAGACCTAAACATGATGGGAATCAGATGAAGCTGTTTCTGTGGAGACGAAGTCCAAGAATCTCTGTTCTGTGGTGCTCAAGAACTTCTTAACTATTGAGATATCTTGGATTGTAGCCTGCTGAGTAGCTATAACTCTAGAACGCTCTTCCTCAACCTCTGCTGCAGCAGCAGCAGCAGCTTGGGCACGCTCTTCCTCAGCCTTTGCAAGAAGAGCAGCTTGCTCTTTTATTTGGCGTTGAGCTTCTTCAAGTTGCCGTTGCAATTGCATGAAGGAGGCCAAGCTTCTTGGGTCATATGGCAGTTCAGTAAGCTGGTTCTTCAAGCTTCCAAGACCATAAATTTGTCCCCTTTCATTGGTGAAAGT